AGATTTAGAGGTTGCCGTGAGCTGTGACGCCACAGCACTCTATCAAGGGCAGCATAGTGAAACTCTGTCTCAAAAAAAAAAAAAAAAAAAAAAAAGAATTCCCCAGAAGGCAAATCAGCCCAGGTGACTGAAAGATTCATGATTGGAAGAGGTGGTAGGAAGGGGTCCTTCCTGGAGAGGACACAAATGATTCTGGAGCAGAATTGTCTCCCCTGGGCTGGCATGGAGTGACACAAATGTATCCACCTGTTGAAATGGATCGAACTGTGTACTTTAAGTGCATGCATCTCATTTTGTGTGAGTTTTACCCCCCAAAGTTGATATTTAATGAATATATAAAGTACTAAAAATGTAATAATTCTAATGACCAAGCTGAGTGCCATGTCAGTTAAATCCAGAATCTTCAAGAAGGGGATCTGGATGATTTCAACAGGCAGCCCAGGTGGGAACCAGCATCATCTTAAAGCAGTAGAAAGGAGCTCTGGCCTTCGGGAGCCAGAAGGAGTTCTGGGGAGATATAAAATGCTCCCGAGGCTTGGGGTTGCAGGGTGCACCAGTATGTGGCCAGGGTCACCCGTGGTATCTGCAAGGTGGCCACCTTCCCACCACACACAGTCCCTCCTCAGGCCCTGTGAACTCACTGTTCCCCTACCAGCCACACAGCTTGCTTCCTCTGCCCACCCCCCCACACACACACAGCACCCCCTGGATGAGCCTGGCAGCCAGGGGGGATCACAGGGTTGACTCCGTGCCTCTGAGGATCCAGGGCCTCTGAGCTCCAGGTGGGTACTTGGTGCCTTGTGACTACAGCAGCATGGTCCCCACCTGCCCTCTGCCAGGGTCCCTATCTCAGTGGAGGCCCCGCTCTTCCAGCTGCTCTCGCCAGTATCATGGAGCCGTCTCTGACCCCTCACACCCTCCTCAGTCTGCAACAAACTCACCACGTTGCCTTCAGACCCATGGCCTCAGTGGGGCCGGGAAGAGGCCAGTGGCCTTTCCCTGACACAGCAAGGGTCACTCTTGCCTCCACCTCATACTCCCAGGACAGAGGCCGCAGCACCCAAGTGTGATCAGCCCTTTATCTTTTCTGGAAGAAGATGGGAAAAGGGATTCTCCAAGGACCATGACCATAGAGAAGGCCAGTTTCCTGGGTCTACTGTCCCACAAAGGGCATATGCTCAGGTGAAGAGGGGGAAGGCAAGTCCCCAGAAGAGACCAGGGCACCTGCCAGAGGGAGCGAGAAGGGGATGGGGCAGCTGGGGGATGCCCACGTCCTCTCCTCAGAAACTGTGGACGTGACATCAGCTAGAGAAAGGGTCCTTGCAGACAATGTGCAGTTTAGATGGGGAGACGGTACTGGGGCATTGAGTGAGCACAACAGCCCCAAGGTGAGGGTTGTCTCCAGAATGACCAGCCCCCCACCCTCGCACGTGGTATCACTCAGCCTAGGCTGTTTTCTGTAATCACAGCAAGAATTTCTCATGTAAATCAATTCAGCGCCAGTTGATCTTGCTACCATTGCCTTGTGAGTTCGAGTTTATATTGGAACTCTGAGAGGTAATAAAAAAGTCATTACCAGCCATAATAGGCTTGGTGGGGAGTTCAGCAGTTCAGTTCATCAGAGATCACCCTGAGATTATTGTTGTTGTTAAGAAAATGAGAGAAATACCTGTTATATGTTGATGAACTATAACTTAACTGAACAAACTTTGCTATTAAAAATCAAATAAGGTGGCTCGACGCCTATAGCTCAACCGGCTAAGGCGCCAGCCACGTACACCTAAGGTGGCGGGTTCGAATCCCCAGCCCGG